CACAAATATTCTTTAAGGTATGAGGCATTCGACAACATTCTTTTAATTTATAAAAAAGACAGATTTACAAATATTCTTCATGTATGTGACTTTCGACAACATTCTTTGATATTAAAAATAAGACAGATTAACCAATGTTTTTTCATGAATGTGACATTCGAAAACATTCTTTAGATTTATAAATAAGACAGATTCACAAATATTCTTCATGTATGTGACATTCGACAACATTCTTTGTTAATATAAATAAGACAGATTCACAAATGTTTTTTTCAGGAATGTGACATTCGAAAACATTCTTCAATTTTATAAATTGACAGATAGACACATTTTCGTTTAGATATGTGGCATTCGACAACATTCTTTGGTGTTTTAAATAAGACGAACATTGCATAAACTTTGTAATCTGAAGGTGTTACAATGTTTACAACACCGTTAGTCGTTACGAAAGGCCACGTTTAATAAAGTTCTTTTATAGCTTACTAAAACCATACATGACTTGTCAGTAAATTTAAAGTGAATAACGGATGTTCTGGTTTTTAAGGTTCCTAGGTGATGTTACTCTAAATTCGAGTCCTTCTGATAATTCTTCTTATCCTTTTCACCACTGGAGACCAAAATGGACTCATCCAGACCAATGTACGGAAGACTAAAGTTACATAGGGGTTGAAGCTCTTATTGACATCAGAATTAACATTTGTAATTTGGATATATTTATCTTTAATCTTAGGTATTAAATTGATATAAAGCGATGTTAACAATGGTGTACGTAAAACGTGATGCTGTTTTCGTAGAAACAGTTCGCCTGCATTGCAGCTGGTCAATCAGTTTTTTAACGAAACTTAATGCTACAACGTGACATTTACTAGCTGTGGGTAGGCATACATGCCTCAACCAATAGAGTCGTTGCTGTGTAGGGTGGTCGAGTGGTGCAGTGGATAGCGTACATGCCTTTCACCAAGGCGGCCGGGGTTCGATTCCCGGATCGGACGTGAACAGGTTTTGGGTCACCTACCCGACCGCATGGGTTTTCCCCGGGTACTCCGGTTTCCTCAAACACTGATACCCTCGTGCGCTAACATCCGGGCTAACAAGAGTGATTAATATAGGTTGAAATAACTTGTTTCATAATTGTTGTGAAATAAATAAAGTTCTTTTTTTTTCATGTAAAAAAACTGTAATGTTTGTAGTAGCTCACACGACCTTGGTTCTGCACTTTTACACCGGTATTATCTGATAAAATGGTAGATTGCTATAAGTTTTGTGGTTTTTGTTATGACTTGACTAGCCTCTATCCGGATTATTATCCTGTATGTAGTCACTCCCTAACGGTACCGCATGGTTCCAGTAAATATACTGCGCATGCTTTGTAAAACAGAGCAATCTGCAAACTTCGGGTGACTCCTCTAAACGCTCTATCGAACTGTTCCAGGAACGAGTCACCGAGGAGTTCCGAGTGAAAAAAAAAAGAGTCTTGATCCCGCCATTAAAGATGCCTAGCAGTGGCGTGTATCTGCTTATGCTAAAGCTCCCCTACAAACACTACAGTTTTTTTCATAGCCACAACATTGTTGGTTGAGGCATGTATGCCTACCCACATAGAAAATATGTCACTTTATTACCCCTTTGAGAAAAAATATAGGCCCTAGGGTTACGATCACTTGCGTTATCTGTACCCGTGGGGTATGTCTTGACTAAATGATTAAACTATGTTCAAAAGGCTCATATAAAAACCTTCGGTTTCGCCAAGACACATGAACGCAAGTGATCGTAACACATGCAGTTTCGAGGAAAATTACCAACAAATTTAAACAACTTTATTTAAGCATTGAACGGCATGTTTTCAATTTCATATCGGCCTCAATATTGAAAAATTACTGTTCAATACTTATATTCAAATTATACATTTTTAGTTAATTGTCTATGTCGTTAGTGCAAACGAGATTCCTGGAACAGCCTAACGTCACCAAAATGTTTGCTTCTAATGGTTGCCTCATGTTATTCGAGGCGGGAGGAGAAGCTTCAAAATGACATTGATCACATTGCGTCCATAGCCTTATGAACGAAATTTCTTAGTGTAACGCTTACAGTGTGATTTGCGATGGAAATGAGAATCTTTACATTCTGACTATTCAACCTCAATACACGTTAGTCATTTTCCTCCAACTTCAAACTGATTTTGGGACCTTAGAGCAGTCCCGTACTCCATGAAGAGACGTTGTTTTACATTTCTATGCAGTATTTATATTTGGTTGTATACTAAAGTTCGTTGTTATGATATAACCGCCCCCTTTACTGAGGATGAAAAAAGGCGAAAATTAAACTGCAGCGAAAATTTCAGGGTATACAGTATTGCGTCTTCCGCCTTACGTATCCATTTTGATGTCACTATTTTCAATTAACACTGAACGAAATGATCCGTTGTGTACAGAAATCATTTTCAAATATTCTCTACCGTACAATATTCTTTAGCATCGTAGCTGACACGACCTCTTACCGAAGATTGAGAAATGATCTTCCGATGGGATTATTTGAGAAATGTAGGCTTTATCGATCCGCGAGCTCACGCGACTCGTTTTTATTATTGTCACACAGTTGTATATAATGTTTTGTCATTGGGAGTGAAAGGTCAGCAACGACATATTTTAGGATTTCCAACAAGCTGGTTGTTCGATGGAACAATTAATTTAGACAGAAGTTCATTCGCAAAAAAATAGTTTGTAATTTGTAAGTTGCGTTTCATTTAATAATTGGACGTCTGTTAGATTGCAGTTAAAGCCAATATGAATGCAATCTGGAAGACAGATACATAGAATGACGTATGACTTCATGATTATTTCAAATCACTATAATCATGACTTGTACATTTGTATGAACAAAACGACAACAACAAAATGGCGGCTATCGTATCGGTTGGAGTGGTTGCTAACACTGACGTCACGGAAACCACATGTATGTGGTTTAATACGAAATGTAGTGAATTCGCGAAAACAAAATGCAAATTGATAACTCGTGAGAAACACACGAACAAATAGAACAGACATGTTATCAACAATCATTACCATGAATGATGGCTGGCCAGGTGATGAACTAGCTAGCGAACTCGACTTTCATCGAGACCTTCAGATTTCAATTCCTTCATCAAACGCCAACAGACACATAATTGTACAAGGTCACATGTTTAACCGTTGGGTTTTCTGCAGGAACTCCGGACTCCCTGCGCGCTGTCATCCGAGCATTTCGCTTTAAAAGTATAAACGGCAACATTTCGAATATTTGTCTTTTTCGTAAACGAAATTATTTGACGATAATACCCTCCCTTACATATCGTATAGCATGGATATCTCCGCGGGGATGAAATTGTTTTGGAATTTAGGGAAATTATGTTCTGCAGAATAATATCACAAGCGTAAAAATGAGCCGCGATAATAAACTTCATAGTCGGAAGCTCGTCATGAAATAGCGCGCATGTGGTTATGACGATTCATATACATAAAGAGTAATGATAGTTGAAAATATATGTTATCATCAAATAATGTCCTGTGTTATCCAGTGAATTATCATGTCATCATGTCAAATTTGTTTGCGTAATCTGACCTATCAGCCCTGTGATTGGTTGTATTTCAATTGTTCTAATTGTGACGTCACGTCTAGGACAAGTACATGACGTCACACACTTACGCACTGGAGTCAAAATGGCAGCTTTTTACATTCAAGGTTGCATGGAATCTGTCGTTTTACACGAATAAATGCCACAAATCTTGATTATGTGATAAAACGGATCTTACACTCCTTTTCAATTCATATGAAATACATGAAACTCGTCACGAAATTTTCATTTTAGATCGCCAGAGGCTCACTAAATTTCATAAATCTCATATGAAATGGAAACTCTTGTAAGATCCTATATTTCTGTGTAAATCTTTTTTTTTTTAAGTTCGGGTCAAAATCACGAAAATGTAAGCCCGCATAAAGAACCCGTAATACGGTATATGAGGATGTTATTAAGATAGTTGGTACATTTTAACCCTGCCGCCTTGTAATTCTAAAAGAATTCACATATAATGAGTCGAATGGCAGCGTCGTAATGGATGGGACTAATACATGCATGCGATCTCCCTGCAGGATCAGGAGCTCTACTTTATGCCGTCATCTAAGAGACATAGACGTGGTCAGCGTTAATCTGCCGCAAACGATTGCTACACTTGGTATTTATATTATTTCTTCTCTGTTATCTTCTTTTATACTGGCATATTATATGATACATGTTTAAAATAAACACTTCTTCCATCTTCATATTTTATAAATAATTGTTCCCGTTTGTCCGTTATCACGATACTTCGTGAGTTCGAACTAAAAGTGTGGCCCTTGAACAACCCCACTATTTGTAGACATCTTATTTGTCGTTGGTAGTTATGAGGAAGCGACAACCACACCAAAATCGCAAATATACGTGATATTGTTTTAAAACTGAAAAAAACGCAAACCCAGCCATATTTGTGTTCATTTATAATTTATTACACAACAAGTCTGACTAATGCATAATACAAGAATCGTTAACCCGACATGTCAAAGTTCAAAATGTGTCGCGTACGGTTAATAGCCTTAACTATCGTGTAAACATGACAACCCTCGTGGTTACACTTCTTGAATCCCATTTTGAGCCGATTTCCCGCTCGAGATCCGCTCCCGAGCTCAAAGCAGCAGGTTTCCAGCCTCAGAGCCAAGCCCGAACGAGCGCCATTCCATACCGAAGAGTATCGATCAGTTTATCCTTAACGATACGACAATGTTATGCCTGGGGTTCCTTCACGTTTCTAGCAAACCCGACTACTGTAGAACCCAGAGCTTCCACATCGATTATATTGTGAAAATGGTTGAGCATACTGTTGCATCCTGGGAAGATTGTGTTATCTATGTAAATAAGATGCGTCGAGAGTTTTCACGACGTTGAACGGAGAGGGTATACGTAAGGCTGTGTAGTAACGTGGGTTCTTGTTTATACTAATACACCGACGGAGGTAGTCCCTGTTGTTTCGTTGTGTAAGCTGGTCTAGTGTGGTGCAGTTAGTCGTTGTAAGTTATATATTTATTTTTATTTTCATGACAAAAAAATAAGGTTAGAAATTAACCCAGAATTGTATATATACTCATAGCTATATACCGCACTGATACACACAAAATCGTCTTGTCAAATTAATCGATTTCTACACTTAGTCTCAACACGATTGCAGGAAAGACACAGTTTCTATCTCTCTCTCTCTCCTGTTGGATAGCGTATGCTTAAATTGATCGCTAGCACGTGCCTGCTCATTGATAAGTCTACGGTACATTGGAAATAGCTCGTATTCGTGAATTCTACAAGTGTAATCTCTCGTGTATCGACTACATTGACCTGTTGTGTCGCCATTTACTGTCAACAGTAGGTTAAACACACGTGTAGGTAGTGTGCCGCTCATTGAACAAGAGCATTTGTATTACATTTTTTTGGAATCTTCTGTTCAATTCACAATATCACGTGCGCTTGACTTACAAAACTGCACGAAATTTGCTACATGCTCCTCTATCTTTGAGCAGTAAATGATTCTCGGCTTGGCACTAAACAATTTCAGTCGATATTGCTGTATATGCTCAGTGTTAAAAACCTGCTAACCATTCTCTACAATCGCGGCCTCCTGAATTTTCACTGTAGCACAGTCGTGTTGAGCGCACGTGTGCCTCATCTTTGAATCAGCTGATATCTGTTCTGCTCTCATCTAAGAGTATTGTGTTTTGTCTGGATATCAAACCTGACTCTTACCCTTGCGTACGTGTGTCCGTGTATAACGTGTGTGTCTGTGTGTGTAGGTGAATACGCAACCCACGCGCATATATTTTTATCAAATCGACCTACTAAATTATCAAATTAATTACATAACATTTGTCTGTTTTCATTGGCATTTGGAGGAAGATTTTCTGTGATTACATCCTTTTGATATAACCTAGTCTTCTCTGTCATCACAAGGATTCTCTCCACAGTGTGTGCTTGTGTGTTGAAGCAATAACGTGCACTGTGTATTTTAGTTACGACATCCAGCCGTCAGCTTCCTCTCCTCTTTCTTGACATACGGTAAATGGCTACTTTAGCGAACGGAATGCTCCAGGATATTCATTCATTGCATAATGGCTCGCAACTTGCTCATCCACAGCAGTCAGCTAGCATCCCAATGAAAGATCATGATGCCGTTAAGTTATTTGTGGGTCAAATTCCACGAAACCTGGAAGACAAAGATCTGAGACCAGTGTTTGAGGAATACGGTCAGATTTACGAGTTAACGGTGCTGAAAGACAGATTTACTGGGCTTCATAAAGGTAAGAAAACATTTTGTTTGAAATTTGTGTTAAATGTTTTGAAGTCGAACATGTGCTGTTCTGTCAGAGGGATTGGGTGACCCTAAAAACTCTAGGAGATATTTTGCTTTTAATTCGTATTTTCGTTATTTGAAGACATCTGTGCTTGTGCGAGAAATAAACATGGCGACACATTTTGATTTTGATAATTACTTTTCGTCCATTAATTTATTTCATATATATATATATATTGAATACTTATGATCATCGTTATATGTATGAATATCATAGAATGTAGTGGTTGTTTTATATTTAATGAAATAATATATGACATAAACGCGTATTCGTGCGAAAAATATTGATTAAAGACCGAACTTCACACTTGTAGAATTAAAGCCGTTAACGTATTTGATTTATTCAACCGTACACTAATGATTTGTATGGATTATGCATACACATAGAGCTACACATCCATTTTGGATGTGACTTTATTTCTCTTTGCCGCTGTTGCTGCTGCTGCTGAAGCTGGCTGGAATAAGCACCTGTTCACAACGCGCGCGGCTCACAGACTACACACACATACACAACTGATGTGACAGAATTGCGTGAGGACCGTTTAACTGTGTGAATCTTAATATTTCCTGGTAATTAGTCGTCAGAACAGAGTATTGATCCAGCCGTAGCTTACAACGCGTATGTCTCAGAACACATATGCTGTTCTTCCTTGAACGTGGTGCCATCTCCCTGCCAGTTTGTATTATGTACGCCCCTGTTCCCGTTAAGCTCGTTTGTTTAACATTTTTGTTACAATACAATGTAACAACGCGGATAATTGTGTACACAAATGTATATTGATTGTAAATATGCGTTATTAATGAAAATTTGTACGTGTATATTATAAATCGATAGCCGTGATTCCGCGGCTGACAGGCCATTTACAGGACGAACAACTTTAACGCGGTTTGATTTATAACATAACCTATATAACCCGAACAGTGTGGGTCCGGAAACCTATATAATCCGAACAGTGGGAGTCCGGGAACCTATAACATTGCTTAAACTTTGACCTCAGTATTTCCCAATCCACACTCACAAATGACACGACGACGTTAGCAGATCGATTAAGGACATATGGTGAAGAGGTTATTTTTCAACAAACATGAACCAATACGGATCATTTCTTTTCTTCAAACACTAATGATATGGAAAAGTCGATTTACCACGAACTTCGGTAACACGACATCAGTCGACATTACGAAATATTTCTCAAGTGTTGTTTAAATAATAAAACATCCATTTAAATAAATGCCTGCACTAATAACGGCTAAGCAGACATATTGAACGTCGATATTTGCAGAGCAACTTGATCTGTTTCCAAGATTGCCGAATACTACACGTAAACCTAGCAGTTGGATTAATCGATTAGGTAATAGTTAAAAAAAATGGTTTACTCATATCTATAAAAAACTGTTTACAGTAAATAATCTAATAAAATGTTGATCCTTAGTCATTGAATGCAACGCATACATTTACATTTTATGTACATCTCGACTTTACAAAATAAAAATAACAATGTATATCCCAAACTTATTTTACCTAAAATAACTGTTTTCACGTATAGATATCTTTGTTCTGTAATTGTGTTCCTCGTCAATGATGAAATATTTTTTAGGTGGCCTTACTACCTGATGATATACTCCGGCGAGCAGCTGCATCGTTTTAGCGCAAATAAAACGAACGTCCTCTCACTGTGTTGATTGTGACGTCACAATTACGTCGTATGCATAGGTACAATAGAATATGAAATTTCGTCCTGTTGATTGCCACCTGATTTCACGGATTTGCACAATACTGATATGTATAAAGAGTGCGATGCGAAAATTTGAACTAATGGTATATTAGGCCATCTAATTCAAATGTATTATTTAACAGAAACGCTGTGCAAATATCTATCAATTATATTTCAATGCATAATGATGAAAAGGTTAATTTAAGTATAATGGAAAGAAAGTATTATTCTGATAGGTCAATATAAAATCGATATCGATTAGTGAAAAAATCAATTATATTAGATTGATTGAGTTATATATCGAACCCACTAATATGTTTTAAAGTCTTAAATTTTGGAAAATATCCTGACATTGTAGCTGCAACGTACAACTATAGTATTACGTCATTGGTAAACAACGTCCTGAATGACGTATGTGGTAAACTCTCGATGATGATAAATCAGTTTGATCACGTGACGGTTTAAACATATTTTATTGCCACTGGGATACATACAGTAAGGGGATTAGGCACAGTTAACACGGACATCATGGACGCCCTTTCCCTACGTAAACCAATACTGTATATATATATACACACAATGAAAGATGACTAGGTGTAACATGATATCAAATTATATTTATCATGTGAAAAATGAAGAGAAAGACAAGTAAAAGACACACTTATGATTTCAGACAGACAGACAGACAGACAATCAGCTTAAAAATAATATTGACGGATTAACAAATGTAATTACATTGTATTCGGGTAAGCAAAAGAGACATTCATTATTATCATGATTTTATCCCTCGTTAGTGCTGAAGACAGTATTATCTTATATGAGCTTTGGGTCAAAACAAACTCACCTTAACATGTGTTCCGAATTGTATAGATAAATTAAAATGAATTTAACCTGGCATGATATTACATGTAATTCATAAATTCATACTACTACTTAAACAATTCTTACCCTACGTTCATTTTCACACAATTCAATTGTTTGTTAAACCTGTTTCTTTCATTTAAGATGAAATGCTGTTCATCATATCAAATATTCATAAACAGGAAACGGCTTGATACACATATGTTTCCGGATTGTTTCTAATTGGTTGTAGATTTCAAGAATCGATACCTAAGCACGGAAATATAAGTTACATAGCAGACAATTTGTCACGATTGTGGAGCAATGGCCTCCTTTTAGACACATAAAAAATAAATAATTGGATTTCACGAAATAGTCACTGACATGTTGTCCTTGTATAACGTCGTTTTGATTTGTATTCAGTTTATTATCGCATAAGCGACATGATTTAACACAGTATGCTCGGTCCATTCGTTGTTCAGGGAACATAGAACCTCTTTGTTCCTCTTGTTTTGGTAAGGGTGTATAATGGCTGTATTTTGATTTTTCATGTCTAAGTATTAAATTCCCGGTTTTCTTTATATTTTCTTATCAACTTTTATGTTCAAATTTCTACCATGCGTTTTTATTAACCATGAGGTATAGTTTTCTATTCTATTTTACTATATTCCGAAATTTCGTTGACATGTACGGTACAGGAAATACTTCTCCATGTTTTCGAATGTTGCGTGATGCTGTTTCTTTTGGATTCATAGTGATCGGTTTCGATCGATTTCTTTTCGTATCTAGTTTTAATTTAGATTTAATTTGTTTTGGTTCGGGGTTTTTACAGCTTCCATCAACAGCTGATGTCATGTAATTCGTGTCAGTTAGTGTGTATTACAAGCATAGTTGCTGGCGGCGGTGTGTTGGTGTATTTGCTTCACTGCGATAGCGTGGATCCAAAACAGAATTTAGAGAGCTGCTTCACTAAAATGCCATATCAAAGGTATCCAGAACCATCCGGTCATATTGTTACGTCTTTGCGTATTGCAGAGTTATCTTCTCTTGAGAGCAGGAATTGATTGTTACGTCATTGGTTTGTGGGAGTAACGTCATAAATTTTTGAGAAAACAACGTCATTTTCTCACACAAACCAATGACGTAACAATCAAAACCTGCTCACAAGAGAAGACAACTCTGCAATACGCAAAGACGGAATACTGGTTACGGGTGTAGCGGGTATTCAACTTCCCTAAGTGCTGCACGTTTAGCAGGGAATAATTGCTCCAAGATTTAAGGATTTTGGTATGTCCTCTGGAGTTATGATTCCGTCACTGTAGTCTATATTTATCAATATTTCCATTTGCTCTGCATTGCCAATATATAACCTTACCAAACAAAATAGAAAGATATCAGATCATAACTCTCACATAATTCCCAATGGTGTAATGATATGAAGAACATGTTTGTGACGTCGTGACTAAATATCGTCGTTTTGACCGACGTCACTATATTAAGTGTATATAATCAAAACGCGCTATCGCGCGTGATTCAATTATTCTGCATTCCTGTGAGAATTATAGGACAATAACTTTCCAAAGAAGGCAGTTTAATGCTTAAATATTACTTGATTTTTCACATAAATATATCAACTTTAAGCAATATTAACACATTCATACTGTATTCCGGATTTCAGGGAATATTTTCGCCCTTCTCCAGAATAATCCATGTTCACCAAGTGTTATCATGTTGTTTCACCCTCATTACGTCGGGCGAAAAGGCGAAAATGAAACTGCAGCGAATATTTTTCGGTATATAGTACAACCTCACGCTAGCATTGTACCAATCAATGGTGATATACGACGTTCAGATTATAGACAAACTTTAGTGAATTATTGATACATTCATTTATGAATTTGTATTGCTTTGTAAGCCGGTCGGTTTTAACCACACATTAATATTGATATATATTTATATTTAGCGTTGTATATATATATACGTACACATATGGCGTCATTATGTTTTACGTAAAATGTACTTGTTCTCGTTTAGAATCGATTGCTGATTCGAATTTTATATTTTAGCAGGTTTATAAATACAAAATTTAATTTCTATGTGTAGCTGAATTAGTGTTGCATATTTATACGCAGTTACGAGATGTACACGTATGTATAATTAGTATTTGTTCTCGCTGTCAGAACGTGAAGGCAGGATTTCATATGCACACTATACGAGTTAAAAATTATTGTTCCATTATTCATGTAAAAAAAGTAAAATTAATATTTTATAAATAAAAAAAAAAACATTACGAAGTTCAACATATTTTTGTCAATTTATGTTTTTGATTATATTATTCTCAGTAACGTAATAATATTATTTTTGTTATATATAAATATGTCTTAATTATTAA